GGAGGCCTGGGAGCAGAAACCTCCCTGAGTAAAGCTAGGCCCATCACAGAGAAAACCTGAGTGGGACACACAGTGCCAAGAAGAAGTTGGACCATGTTTATAGAAGATTACAAGAGACTTGTTTTCCTCCTTTTTTAAAAACAGGAATTGAGAAATCCCGACACAAACATTTACTGCCAGATTCGCCCCAAAGTAAAAGTGGCTCCTTAGTTACCTCCAGGAATGGCTCCTTACAGGCTAAGAAGAAGGGCCAACCTCAGACTACAGACCCTGGATATATGGTAGGAGCCTGAACAAGGTGATCAACTCTGAACTCTGAGGAGACCTGGGAGCAGGGATGGAGAGAGAGGATCCCTCCTAGATTCCTGGAGACCCAAAAAGACTGCTCTTCGTTCATACAAAATGAAGGCATCCTCTCCTGCCCCTACCAGAAAGTGAGAATCTTCCAGGAAAAGTGAACCTGTGACTCACCATTGAGTATCTAGGAAAAGTCTTAATAAAAAGGACTCTTCCCCTTTCATTTTCTCTTTCTGCTTATGGAAACATTCTCAGCACAAAATTTCACCTGAAACTCCAGATCCATTCTCCCCTAGGACACACAAGGAAATAGTAACACTAAATTATCCCAACCCCTGTTGATATTCTCTGGCAGAGAAGACTTTGGATCAGATGGGGGTTGTTGTTGTTTTCAGGTGCCATCGAGTCAGAACCAACTCATAGTGACCCATGCACAGAAGAACGAAACAATGTCCAATCCTGGGCCAACCTCACTACCGCTGCCACACTTGACACCATCAATGATACCACCTGGCCGATCCATCTCGTTGGGGGTCTTCCTCTCTTTCTCTGACCCTCCATCTTACCCAGCATGACATTCTTCTCTAGTGACTGTTCCCTCCTGACAATATGTCCAAAGTATGAGACACGAAGTTTAGCCATGTTGGCCTCCAAGGAGCACTCTGGCTGCACCTCTTCCAAAACAGATCTATTGGTTCTTTTGGCAGTCCATGGCACTTTCAGTATTCTCCTCCAGCACCACAATTCAAAGGCATCAATTCTTCTACGATCTTCCTTATTCAAT